TGTCACCCTTACACTTTTTGTCGTGTTAAGGATGTGGTCGTACTATTGCATATTTTACGTCGTTGCATTTTTTACGTCGAATCCGGTACCGTTCACGTATGTCCTGACATAGGGAATTCGGTAGACGTATGTCATGGAAAAGCCATGTCTGTTCATCGCTCAAGAGGCGAACGATGAACACGGAGATCGCCGCGTTTATGAAAGCTTGTGCTGCAGACTACAGCCTGTCGCACTCGAGGCTGAGTTAGCTCATGGACGACTGCCATCATTTGCTGCGAATTATTAATTCCGGTTTCCTATTGCAAGCGAAATTTTAGGATGCTAGAGATCGGAACATCCAACATCCCGCACGACCGATCCCCGTTACGTCCAACAGTTGTGCAAACACATTCATCTGTGCTAAACTATTAACATTCGCCCATGTACATACATGTATTTGTCCGCATACTGGGCGTACAAATTGAGTATTGAGGATACAAAATCCAGACGCGCTGGGAGTAAACTTTGCAGTACAGGATTACACACCAGTAAGGGTACCTGACTTGTCCACTTTCGTTGCTAAACAAAGCCGGCAATCCATCTGGGCTGGGATAGCTAAACAGCTCTTGGAAAAAATGCATGTTGAAAGGCAAGTTCTGGACGCTGTCACACGTGTGTTGAATCAACGCGATACAATTATTCCTCATCGACAATAATCTGTGTGCCATCTCGACAGTGCCTAGTGGATCACTGCTGGTGGAGTCATGCCATTCCAGCCGACCAGCTCCGCCATACTCACTTTTCAATTTGTCTGCCGTCGTGCACTAGCACCTAGTTAGCCCCCACAACAAGCTCTATTCACCATGCGCGTCTACGCTCTCCTCATGGCCGCCGCCGCTGTGGTGGCTCCCGTAATGGCTGGAAGTAGCACCAATGCGCTCCAGAGCGCCGCTGACAGCAACACATCTAACAGCCAATCTACCACAACTACCAGTAGTGGATCGTCATCCACGTCGCTGCCCACCGTTGAGCTCGACTACACCATCGTCCAGGCCGTCGGGGGCAACACCACCGTCGGATACTACAAGTACC